TCTCCGGTTACCTTATTTCTAACTTCTTTTTTTATTTCGGATAGGGAATACGATTGCATAATATAATTTTTTTTGTTATTCTCTAAAAATCATTTTTAGTCTGTTGTCAGAAGTATCTTTTATTTCAACTAATCATCGATAGTGCTAAAAAGTGTTACTTAGCCTTTACAATCGCTTTTCATGTATCCATAAAGAAGTAGAACACATTATCAACTGCTCTGGATACCTTATAAGTAATGTATGATAAAGTGAATACCCAATCATTTTCAAGCCGTGATAAGCAGGAATTCTTTGTGGAATAAGAAGCCTAACCCATAGTTTTGACTACTATATTTAGCGTTATTATTTTAAAAAACAAGTATGCTTATAAGAAACTAGAGGAAAAATTGTTGTATTAAAATAAAAAAGCATGTTTTGGCGTTTATAAACCAATTTCAAATTTGGTTTACGAAAATATTGTCTACAAGTTTGGCAGTATGATGCCTCAGTGTAAATAGTGTAAAACTTTAAAATACACTATTTATTAAAAGGGTCTTTAATGGCCTAAAATTATATCTGTAATACCTCTGAGTAGTCGGCATTACGAAGCTTCCACATGGGGCACTTGGGCAGATTGATACAGACCCGCTGAGTTATGGGTTTCACTAGGAACTGCCGTTTGCACTCCTCATCATCCAGCACATGATAGACACCGGTATCGAGAAGTTCGCAGCGCACCACACGCGTTTGAATGCCTTGACCACCACAGGAGACAGAGCAATTAGACCACGGTCCCTTTACCCACTGGACAAGCTTTTGACGGGTCATGATCACTGCCGGGTCCTCGTTCTGCATCTCTGTGTTGCGTTTCGGATTTCTCGCTTCCCAATCAGCTAGACCCTGTGATGGTAGGTTGTAGTGAAGCATAATGGAGGCACTGGGTCCCTCTTTGCCAGCCTGGCAACGCCACTCGCCTTCGTCTGAACTGGAGAAATGTCGAATCACGAGATTACCAGATTTGCTTATGAAGCGGCGGTTTGTTTCATTGCTTACACCACCGGTATGATAGGAGAAGTTGCCAAGTTTGCTGTGTTGCCAGATGAGGTTTGAACCGGGAAAGAATTTCACTGGACACTTAATAGACAATCGAGTGTCTGGCAAGATGTGAGCCTCTTGACCCACTTGGAGGCGCATTCTGCGAACCTGAATAAGCAGTAGTTGGGTCATGTAGTATACAGATCTTTGTATGATTTTGCAAAGGCATTGATGTGCTATGATCTTAAGGCCTGATACCGCAGCACTTTGGTAGATCATTAGCTACTCTTGTCAGTTTTGAGAAAATTCGCAAACTTATACATAATTATACTATTTGTTTCTGTTGTAGATCGCCCATTTCTCATAAGGTATGACTATTACTGTGTGGTAATATGATTAATTTTCCCAAATACTACCCCAGATAATGTATTTCTAAAGGAATAAGCTTCGAACACCGGTCACTTTGGATTGACTGAAAACAGTAAAAATTCAGAGTTATGACTAATAAAAAATGTGAATGAGTTATATTTTTCCCCCGGTTTTTCATTTTTATTGCTGAAGTTTGTATATAATATTAGGAAACTACGAACACTTCATTCGCTTGTACACATGAAAATGTTGGTGGTCAGTAGAATCACGAAATCACCTATCTATATAACATTAAATATCGTCACGGATTTATTAGTGGGTTTTTAAGAAATCCATTACCAGTTTTTATTATTTTCATTGACTTTGAAAAAAAGAAGTAGCGAGAAATAAATCCGGCCGAACTCAATGAGGCGGTAGATTGAATTCCCTCTATTTGCTACTTGGGTTTAAAATGTGATAATACCGACCGCCACTTCAGATTCAATAAACATTCCTAAAGTCGCAAAAAGTTAATGGAAGATAATTGCGAGGAGCAGTACACTGCAAACTTGTCAATCCTTCAGCTAACTCTAGCAGCTTCTGCATGACTGAGACGGAGCCAAATGTTGCACCCTAGCAAGCACTGTTAGCCTAATCAAGTGTTAAGCATCATTCATCTTACTGCTCGCATTTGCACCACCGTCATCTTCACCTCTTCGATGACCGGTGGGTTTTGTGTGCACTGAGCACTGATCTCGGGGATGAAGCACCTTCGCCATATCGATGGAGGTGGTTTCCGACTCAGGTAGCAGGCAATTTGTGGCAGTTCCGCGTACTGTCCGCTAGCAGTTAACGAACGACACGACAGCAGACGTTTTTGCAGACCGCTTTTGCAGGGGTCTTTTTGTTCACACTAAAAATAATAAGGTGCGAACTACCAGATAGTCCGTGGGTTTGTTGTTTGATTTATTACTTTAATCTCAGCCTGTATTAATCATTTCCCTGACTTTTAAAGGCCTACAGTTTAGTGAAGCTAATTAGGCATGCAGAAGTAACTGATTAGGGAATGGAAGGCCCAAGGTACAGCCTGTTGGTAATTTAGGAGGCAGCATTGCCGAGCCGAATTATACGATACATTAGAACATTCAAGCATGTAGGTCACATATTTTATTCATAATTGAGGGGACATCTTGAGATAAAATTTCTGTAATTTTTTAATAATGATGATGATGTGAAAAGAACTAACTAAGAGTAAGTTGTTATCACCAACAGTTTTAAGACCACTTTGCATAAGTTATGCCCAATTTGGCAATCAGCAGTAATCTCACTGAATTTGAATGAAAGCCGCATGAACTTCGTTTGTGTAGTGAGGTATTCGGTGTACATGTTTGGGTGAGCTCGATTTCCACCAGCAAAATCACTAAATATTTGTGACACTAAGAGAACATCATATAAGCTTTTTCCTTAAGCATGAACAGCTTCTTTTATCTACCAACATTGGTATTCAGCTAATGTGCGATTCGTCAATCTTTTCTGTATTAAAACGGACTCATTATTCAACAAGAAAGGATAGTAAATTAATCAAATTTTTATAAGCATATATTCCAGCCAGCTTTTACAAACTATACCGATAAAGTAAATAAAACTATGACTGGAATGAAACATTACAGTGATATACTTTTTTCCACCACAAAGTGATACCTTGTCTATGTTGAGGTCATCAGGGATACAGTGTTCATATGTATTGATTCTGTAATTTAAACAATGTGAAATCAAAGAATTTTTTAGTTTTGACATCCCCACACTCTTTAACTTATTGAAACATGCAGAAAAATTGATTTATGTCGATTTTGTGACCAACTGTCGAGACCAATACGAGATTATGAGGTAGATGTTAGGAACAAACCTTCTGCCAATCAAGTGCTTGGAATTCTGCTGGGCAGTTGAATCGATTGCAGGCGCCTTGTGACTCGGGTCGTTTCTTAGGATCGCAGAAGTCATTTTCAAATTTGTGACTGATGGTGATCTCATCTTCGTCCCCAGCCATCACGCATTCGACCTCACGAGTGGTATAGCCCAGGTTCCCGCAGGGCTGCGAGCAATCCGACCAATTTGAAGCTCTCCACCAAGTCTTGCTTTCGCAGTCGCCCCAGTTGCACTCTCGAGTTGCGTTAGGCGGTATTTTGGATGTCAGAGAACCACAAAACTTCTCCGGTCGGAGGGTGGTGGTGTTATAGCGATCGTGCTGAACGCAGACATAGACCTTGTGTTGAAGGCCTGGACTGCAAACTGATGAACAGCGATCCCAAACATCTGTAGCTATCCACTCTGGACCTCTGAAATAAAAGATTTTAAAGTGAAAACTCCTAAAATGCATTACATTACTGCTTAGTGTGTATGGGCATCCACTCGCGTTAGAAGCGGATTTTAACAGAATGTGACTCGATTGCCAATAAGCATCCTCCGCAATCTCCTTATGTACTCAGTTGAAAGATTAGTCCTTCTTCCCCTAAATAATTAGGTCAAATCCCTGATTTTTAATTTACCGCTGTTATCATGAGTGAATTTAAAATGGATTTACTACCCACTTATGCCAAAAATTTTGACCGATCTTATGTACAGTATAGGGTGTACAAAGTGGAATGGAATTCATTGTGACCTCTCTCTACAGGCTCTACTACTTTGACATAAATAAGGATGGAATTAGACAAATCCTTTTTAAATAAATAATATGTCTATTCTTGCGTCCTTTATGTGACTCTGATACCAGAATCCTGATTTGTATATTAGCAACAAATGCTAATTAATTAAGACCAGCTTTTAATCCCTTATTAGTAGTTTGAGGATAAATGAGAAAAAATTCTTTGGATTTATTTTACTGACTAACATGCACTTCCTTTTTTTTGAATGAGGAAAATAAGTTAGTGTTGACTCTTAGGAGTTACGATAAACTTCGGTGGGTTTTATTACATACGACCTAATTTTCCCACTTTATATAAAAATCATTCACCAACCACTCATTTGTAATAGATTAGCACTTGTACCGATTCAGATAAGTTGATTATGGAGGCTTTTACAGCCTTTGATGTTATGCAATAAGCACCAGAAAGACAGTGAGTGAGTAAAATCAAGTGGATATTGTATTGACCTCTCCTTAACTACTTTAGTCAGTGCAAATTCGCGTCCCTTACGTCCTACTTATGTACTCCTTCCAGCGGAGAATAATTTGTGGGGGAGTAGAATATACCCTTGATTGTGCCTAAATTTTGCCCCTCTTACAGGGTGGCTTCGCACTAATTAGGCGCCACCTCCTTATGTTAAACAGCACTAGACCTCCAGATTAATGCAAAATTTATACCTTGGAGGAGCGTGCTCAACCTACGGCGGGTGTGGCAGATAGTTTTATTGCCCAATAATTTATTCTCTACCATGTCAGGGCATGACTAATTCTTAATTGTTCAAGAGGGAAAGTTTTGGTGTAAATCACGTCCAAAAGGTAGCACAATTTACTTTTCTCTTCGTTATTTTACACGAAAGCCTTTCCTCCAAAAGTGCTGGTTTATTATTTTTTGTCAGTTGAATCAAATTTCTTATTCCCAAAGCAGTGCTTTAAGCGTGCCGGTGATTCATTTAAACGTCAATACAATATAAAACGCACTTTTTGTTAGTCTAATTAAAAGAAATTCGTGATGCACAATGGCACGATGCTAAAAGAGGTCTCGCTTGGCATGACCAAAGAAGCACTCACACAAAATCGCTGTTTATTCACACAAGTGTTAGTGTTAGATGTCAATAAAAGCTGTGTCGCTGTTTTTTTCGCTAATAACGTTTTACCACCATTTTACAATTATCGTGCAGTGAAGTCTTACCCAGGTAAGATGATGTTACATTGAAGATCAACGAAAAAGAATAAAAGGATCCACATCGAAGAAAACGAGGGTGACGCCATAAAAGCAGTGGGCATTAGATTGCGACAAGGCAGAAGAAATGCACTTTCTAGAGAGAAGACAAAGAAGCAACTATGGTTACTTTTAATGCATAAATTCTTACCTGCTATAGATTTGTCATTTAATGTGTGAATGAACTAGAAAGATTTTCTTACAGTAAAAAATTCAAAAAAATTCGTCCCCTAATTACATTACCTGTCTGATGACGGGTTCATTCAAAGATAAGCCATTCATATAGTCTATCAAGTGACTTCGTGGTGGTTAACTACACCTCATCGCCTAAGATGACTTTGAAAATTCCATAATTTGAATTACATAAGCAAATTCAGTTGTCAAAATTGCTGAGCTGTAAGTGTATGGATCCAATGATACTCTCGCGCTTTAACAAATGGGCTATTATATTTTTGAACCAACTGGATATAAGTCAGTTACTAAGCTCCTTATCATTAGGGCTGACACATTTCCCGCCATGCCAAATCTGATTACGATGCTGAATACTTGGATCTCTTCTCCTGAAACACTAAATCGCCGGAGTGATTGTGATTTAATCACATATAAATTTTTAGGCCAATTCATGGCAGAAGATTAATGCTAAATTCCTACCTGGACATATGGTTTGTTCCACGTCAGCTCAGGGCTTGTCCAATGTATCCTACACTAATGTTTCAACTGGAAATTTTTTGGTCAGAAGGCAAGACTGGTGCCGATCCCATATATACGTATGATGTAATTTAGCAAAATGTACATGTAACCTAAGCAGTGGCTAAAACGTATTATGGGCCTGCTTTACCACCGATAACATCATCATGAGGAAAAATTTTTAAAGGCTTCGAATTTTCACAAGTAGTAAAATTCAGTAAACTATTTGTAGGTACTTTTGTGCCCCTATAATGGGGTTAAAACAATTCATCTAATTATTTTCGAAATTAAAATTGTGGTTAATAAAAGAATTTTAAATGTATGCAAATAAAGGTGAAATAATAACTTACAGTCTACACAACAACAGATAATGGTTACAAAGATGAGGTGACGCCTCAGAAGGATATCTCCATCCCGCGGATAGCTCAATTGATGGAGATAGATCCGACACAGGTATTGTGGTTGCTGATCCCTTTAACTGTCCTTGCGTAAAAGCTGTAACGAGAGGACACAAATACCAATGCTGAGTTTAACTGCCCCTTGAAGGTGTCCAGCTCCGTTAGGTTCGCGTAAACGTGAAAATGAAACAAAGGTGAGGGTTTGAACAAGCACGAAATCTCTTTACTCCACCCACGTCCTCTGCCCTCCATTGGCTAGCACCTAACCAATCATGCGCTAGAATCACTATAGACTAATCTGGATGGCATGGAGAGTTAATGCACCATATCCTCAATTTTTCTGCCAATCTGTGCACTCGGGAGGCGAGAAACGTGCGCATTTGCTGCAAAGCTGTGAATTTGTTGCGTCAACACCTCTAGTTCCGCCATTTCATTCCATCATGCCTTACAATGACCTCCACGATTCAAGTATTTTTGGCTGTCAACGCTTTAAAGTGAGGTGACAGATGCCTAAGTTCATTGATACTGCTAAGCAAGGTAATCATCTATCTGTTGATTTACAGCAAATCCCCTTTTTCTACATAAAATGAAAAAGTTGTAGGCTAAAAATATCGATGTGTTAAGGAAATGTGGGTGCCAAAGTTGAATAAATCCACAAAAAAATAACTTGAAAGCAGTGCCGGGGATAACTAGCAGCGATGGTC